CAATATTTTCACTGCTCGAACCTCCAGCGACCGAGCCAAGCAAATACGAAGTAAAGTGGTCGACCAACTTAACATTTTCTGCTGTAGAAAAATTTGTTCTACATGTCTAGTCTATGTGTTCTCTGGTCAGTGGTCATAGTGTACAGTCATAGGTATGTACTTTATAGAATTTATTTATATAGAAGAATATTTCTWTATACATATATAGAATTTCGATATTTGTTAAAATTCACCCCACCCCTATATCGACCCCATCACGCTTAAATTTGTAAAAGGCGGGTTTCAAATACTAGAGACTTGTGTTTAGGCAGCTGAATACTTTTTGCGTTTTGTATTTTATCCAATTTGTGACAATTATTATCTTTATCGTATACTTCCATATTGCGAATCCCATTTAAATATATTTTTAGCGACTTGTAGTCATTTCTTGCCACTTGAGTTAAGTTGTCCGGATAAACCGTTCCGACAAGAAAAGTTTCACGAAGCTTAAGGTTTATCTTAATGCTGCCAAAGGACATGCTGTACGTGGGATCGAGATCAAAAACTCTATCAGCCGCAACAACCAAAAAGCCAATGTTTATGTTCTTTGTCAGCTTAGAAGCAGCAGCAACAACAAGGACACCTTCGCCATTATTCGCATGTGCCAATGCGTTGTAAAAGTTGGGCTCCCGGTCTAAAACAAAGACGTGCTGCAGTGCTATCGCTGCCAAGGACTTGGGAACTCCCAAAGCTACTGCAAGCTACCACCTAAGTGCGTATAATGTGGACAGGGCCTGTGGAAAAGCAGGCCAGACATAGAGCACTACCTGAAAACATTGTTTCTGAAACCCACTGTTCCCCCAAATCCTATTTTACCCTTAATGGCTACGACGCGAACCATCCAAATATCGCCGCCCGCAAAGGAGCGGCAATTATAAGCGGTATAAAGACAATTGAACTACCAAATCAACAAGAGTCACTGGCAACGCGATCGACTTGTGCTCTGACCACAGCGCCGTCAAACTTCTGGTCAATATACCTGCCTACACCCATTCCAAGAGAAGTAGACTGTTCAAACGTAACACTAATATACAGTTATACAAATAATGGTTACACATTGGCAGAACAGTCTGGATCCAGCGGGCTGCAAAAGAGGAGAGCTCAAGGAGCTGCTGTACTACTTGAGAAGGCAATCCCTTAACCAGTACCTAGAAGAAGTGGAACCCGGTCACCCCCATCACGATCTCTGGAGCGTTACCAAAAGCATCAAAAGGCCAGCGATCAAAAAAGAGCCATTCAAGCGTGCAGATGGAATGTGGTGCAGATCCGACAGCGACAGAGCCGCGGCGTTTGCTAACCACCTACACGACGCATTCACCCGTTTTACAGGGTGCTTTAACGAGGATGCTTCCTTGACGTTGCTTGTCAGATGGCCCTCCCAACTTCTGCAGTTGCTGCAGAAGAGCTGTCATCAGAAATCCGAAAGCTCAAAGCATCCAAGTCGCCCGGATATGATGGAGTCGATGTACCTGCCATTAAAGCCCTACGGCAGTCTGGCCTAGAGCTTCTCCTCAACATTGTCAAAAAATGCTTTCAGCTAGGACACTTCCCCACCCAGTGGAAATGCGAAATCAATCTGATCAAAAAACCTGGGAAACCTGGGAGCTAATCTCGCCTCATATCACCAGAGAAGTGCCACAGGATCGTTGAGAAAATACTGGAAGTAAATGAGGAATTGAAATACTGCGCTGCGGTGTTTCTGGTCGTAAAACAGGCTTCCGACAGAGTTTGGTACACAGGACTGCTCATTAAGCTCAAGGCAGCTCTCCCCGCACCCTACCACATGCTCCTTAGATCTTTTGTTGTCAGCAGAAGTTTCAACGTGAAATGTGGTGACGAAAAGTCCGACATCAAAGAGGTTAGAGCCGGAGTCCCCAGGGAAGCGTATTGGGCCCAGTGCTTCACACGCTCTACACCGCTGGTATGCCCATCGTTCCGGACGCCAGACTACTAACCGTCACCTACGCTAATGACACAGCCTTTCTAGCCAGCGACGCCTCACCACAAACCGCTTCCAATATACTACAAAAGCAGCTCGACCAGTCAGCACATGGTCATGGTCACTAGCGAAAAATCCACACACACAACGTTCACACTAAGAAGAGGAAATTGCCCTCCTGTCCAGCTAGATGGTTCTACTATCCATGATAGCGTAACAGCAAAATATCTCGTTCTTCCACTCGACAGAAGTCTCACATGAAAACTCCACCTACAGTTAAAAAGAAAGCAGCTGGACGAGAAGCTGAAAAAACTCTTCTGGCTACTGGGCAAAAAATCAAAGCTAAAAACAAGAGTAAAGCTCCTCATATTCAAGACCATTATAAAAAACCTATGGACATAATGGATCTTGATTTGGGGCACCACTAACGCCACCAATGTGATATCATCCAACGCTCCTAAAACAGAGCCCTGAGACTGATCTCTGACGCCAACAGCTACACCACAAACGTGGAAGTACACACCAGCGCCACAACCAGAAGGCTAAGAAGACACCACCCGCTAGATCTCCCGCACATTGCGGATCAGTAACTTATAGCTGCACCTTCCCCAACTCTCATACATGTCGCCCAAGCAAACTGCCAAAAACCGCACAAACTCACATGTTATTGTATAAGTCATCCACAACCACACCACCCACAGACACTATCCTCACATATTTGTTTCGTAATACCGCTAATATTAAGCCACCACCAATGTTCACCTATTGCAATGTTTTGCAAAACAATTTACTGATTGTCCAAAAGGACAGATTGTAAATAGACCAACGGATAAAAAACAAGTAAGAAGGCTCTAGTCGAGACTGCTCGACTAGGAGATACCCTAAACCCTCCAAGCTGGTATTCTAATCAGTCGGGACTTCTTTTATGCAAACATACATACACATGCACTTATACGCACGCGCTCTGCAACTGCGCAGTAAGCAGCGACTGCGCTTGGGCTGCGCTGCAGTGTGGGCAATATTAAGAGAATTTATTTGTTGAATAATTTCTTTTGTAGACATATGATCTTAATGAAACTTTCAAAACGTAATCATATGGTAAATATGTGTGTACATTCCAAAGCCCAAGTCTCTAGTACTTAAAATGCGTTTTTTACAAATTAAGGGAAAAGGGGGCGTGTTATCAAAAATCTGTAAATTACAAAATCTTTGTATCGATTAACTTCATATACAACGCAAGACTCCAGGTCTAAAAGTGTTCAAATTAGGCTGAAAAAACAAAATCAATTTTTCGACTTTTCTCGATAAAAATGTTATCAGATGATTTATCGAAAAAATAAAGCAAACTCGTACTGCGTATGGCCACTAACCAGAGAACACATAGGCCGGACACGTAGTGTAAGGCGTTTTGCACTCTTTTTTCGAGCGTTAACACCCCAGACAACTTCGTATTCGCTCGGCTCCTCACTTGTAGGTTTGGGTTACTAATACTACTAATGTACGAAAGCACAATCATTTCGCTTCATGCGCTCGACCGAGATGCTCAAATGTTGAACAAAAGATCCCTCTATGCTCAATGTTTTCCTTGCTCTCTCTCTCT